TTTGTTGTGATATCATTTATATGCCATAATAGTCACCTTTTTATTTTTTAATCCTTACCTGAGGATATTTTTCCACTGATTTTTTACAAAGAGTGAAAGAGAGAGGGATAGAGAGAGAGAAACATCAATGTGAGAGAAACACATCGATTGGTTGCCCTCTGCACAAACCCCCAACCAGGGCCTGGGCCAGGGAGGAGCCTGCAACTAAGGTACCTGCCCTTGATGGGAATCAAAACCGGAACCCTTTAGTCTGCAGACCAAAGCTCTACCCACTGAGCCAAACTGGCTAGGGCTATTTATTTATTTATTTATTTTATTTTTAGTCACCCTTTTAAAGTGTCAATGTAAAAACGTCTGAGCCTGTGGAGAAGTTTTATGAGTTTATTTGAGCCAAACGGACGACATGCTGGGGAGGCTCCAGAAAATAACAGTTTAGCAGCTTTTTGTATGCACTTGAAATTAAGGAGGGAAAATAAGGGAGATCACATGGAGGTGAGAAAGCAAGGCAGGGATTGGATTATAGGATAGTTAATTATGTAATAATTATGTGCTCTTGAGGGTGGTTATTTAAAAAATGTGTTAACCTAGGTGCACAGAAACAATGGACAGGGCTTGTTTAAGGCCAAGATAAACCTTTTACTAAAAAGTTGTGGGCCTGCCCTGGCCAGTGTGGCTCAGTTGGTTAAGTGTGGTGCCATCCACCCTGAGGTCCCTGGTTCAATTCCTGGTCAGGGCACATGCCTGGGTTGCAGGCTGGATCCCCAGTAGGGGGCATGCAGGAAGCAGCCTATCAATGATTTTCTCTCATCATTGAAGTTTCTATCTCTCCCTCTCCCTTCTCTCTCTCTAAAAATCAATAAAAAACAAAGTTATAGATATGGGCTGTAACTACTCACCATGAGCTGCCCAGTTAGGAGTTTATGATCAGACCATCCTGTGAGGTTACTTTCAACAGAACCCTTTTTTCATCCACAAAAGTGTACAATTTAGCCTGACCGATGGTCAGTGGTTGAGCATCAACCTATGAACCAGGAGGTCATGGTTCAATTCCCAGTCAATTATATATTTATATATTTTTTATTGATTTCAGAGAGAGAAAATCAATGATGACAGAGAATCATTGATCAGCTGCCTCCTGCAGGCCCCCTACTGGGGATCGAGCTCGAAACCTGGGCATGTGTCCTTGACTGGAATCAAACCCAGGACCCTTCAGTCCGAAGGCCAATGCTCTATCTCAGCGGTTCTCAACCTGTGGGTCGCGACCCCTTTGGGGGTCGAACGACCCTTTCACAGGGGTCGCCTAAGACCATTGGAGAACACATATATAATTACATATTGTTTTTGCGATAAATCACTATGCTTTAATTATGTTCAATTTGTAATAATGAAATTGGGGGTCACCACAACATGAGGAACTGTATTAAAGGGTCGTGGCATTAGGAAGGTTGAGAACCACTGCTCTATCTGCTGAACCAAACCAGCTAGGGCATGTACACATTTTTATATGGACATATGATTTCATTTCTCTTGGATATATACATAGGAGTGGATTTGCGGGATTATATGGTAACTCTGTTTAAGCATTTAAGGAGCTGCCAGACTATTTTCCAAAGAAGCTGCACTTTTTTACATTTCTACTAGCACAGTATAGGGTTCCGATTTCTCCACATCCCCACCAACACTTCTTTTGTTTGTTTGTTTGTTTTTGTTAATCCTCACCCAAGGATATTTTCCCATTGATTTTTAAAGAGAGTGGAAGGGAGGGGGAGAGACAGAGAGGGAGAAACATGGATGGGAGAGACACGTGGATTGGTTGTCTCCTGCACACACCTCCACTGGGGCTGGGGGTGGAGCCTGCAACCGAGGTATGTGCCCTTGACTGGACTGGAACCCGGGACCCTTCAGTCTTGGGCTGACACTTTATCCACTGAGCCAAACTGGCTAGGGTTTTTTTGTTTTGTTTGTTTGTTTTTTAAATAATAGCCATCCTAACGGGTGTGAGGTATAAATGATCTTTTAAAAGTTCAGGTTTCTGAATTTGCAAGGCTGAGGTCCAGACCCTCAGCTACTTTCAACCTCACCTTCTTTCAATCCTCTGCACAGGAGGACAGATGGAGGACTGGACAGGAACAGAAGCTGAGGCCCAGGCGGGGAACAGTGGGGATTCAGGAAAGACAGTCCTTTGCTGGGAAGCCTGCTCCCACTCAGGCAAGGTGGCCATGGGCTGGGGTTAGACTGGAGGACCTAGAGCAGATGCCCTGTTCTCTGGAGTATCTGTGATACCACACTGTCTGGAATACCCACCAGAGTTCCTGGGACCTCCCTGGCTTATCCTGACATTCCTCCAACAACTCTAAGCCATCGTTCATGAATCAGCATTTACTGAGCACCAATCATTTGCTGACACTGTGAAAAGGATGAATTCCACCTGACCTCATGAAGCATACTCACCCATAACCCATAACCGTTGATTTAAAAACCAGGTGTGTGCAGTGTGGTGGATTATGCTACAGGTGTCAGGGAGGCTGGCTTTGGGGAGGCTGGTTCAGAGTTGCTCCATTGATCCAGGCAGGAAATGAAGGCTTAAATGGAAGTAGTGGCCAGAGTAGTGGACGGATCCCAAAAACATCCGAAGGCCAGGCCTTGGGAAGCCCCTGCTGTGGGAGTAGAGGGAGAGGTTGGGTCTAAGGTAACATCCGGCTCTTGGCACAGAGGGCTGGCTGCTGTGTCTCATTTAACGAGATACGAAAAATGGCAGTTCGGGTGGAAGAAGCTGTGACGTTCAGTCTGTGACGTTCTGAATGTGAAGAGTTACAGAACACCAAAGGGAGCTTTCTGGATCCCAGGAGGCAAGTTGTTCCTGGAGAGGAACACCATTTGGGCACCATGGGGGGGCGGGGGCAGCTCTCCACTGGGAGGTGGAGCCACGGCTGCTGCCAGAGAAGGTGCCCCAAGCAGAGGGCAGGAGGTAGGGGTATATACAGAAGGAGTTGAGACCACAGAGTCAAGGGCATTATCCAAGGAGGGAGCTTACAGGGTGGAGGAAGGGAAAGGAGGCAGGGGAAACGTTCCATGGAGGACACGGTCAAGGAAAAAGCCACAGAGAGGTGCAGAAAGAGAAGGTTCACAAGTGTCCTTTGGGCCTGCAACCAAGAGGGTGTTGGGGTCCTGAGAGGGACTGGCAGCAACTTTTCTCCTCTTCCCTGCAGCTTGCTCTGGTGAAGGACAAGAGAAGGAAAGGAGGAGGAGAGTGAGGGTGAGGGTGAGGGTGAGGCGGAGAGAGGCTCCCCTGTCCCCAGTGAAAGAACATTGTTTTTGAGCAGTGGTTCTCAACCTTCCTAATACCTCGACCCTTTAATACAGTTCCTCATGTTGTGGTGACCCCCAACCAGAAAATTATTTTCGTTGCTACTTCATAACTGTAATTTTGCTAGTTATGAATCGTCATGTAAATATCTGATATGCAGGATGTATTTTCATTGTTACAAATTGAACATAATTAAAGCATAGTGATTAATCACAAAAACAATATGTAATTATCTGTGTTTTCCGATGGTCTTAGGCGACACCTGTGAAAGGGTCGTTCGACCCCCAAAGGGGTCGCAACCCACAGGTTGAGAACCGCTGTTTTAGAGACTCCAGCTTCCCGGGCCTGGAGGGGACAGCTAAGGACCAGGGCTGTCTGCAACTCCACAGGTGGGAACACCGGGGGAGGTCTGCTTTCTCCCCGTGGAGTGGAAATGGGTAAATGCTGAGGGGGGGGGGGGGCGGGGCGCGGGGGAAAAAAAGTAAGTGAGATCCTGGAGAGAAGACAGGGAATAGATGCTGGGGAGATGGCAACCAGAGGCCAGATCCATTTGGAGCTCCTGGAAGTTTTCCGAGCTGCTGCCGAGCAGCACGGTTAGAAACCCCGGCCTGCGCATCGCAGGCAGGACTCCTCTCCAGCAGGGCCCGGCCTCCTGGAGGGAGAGGGGGAAGCTGACCAGGGGCTGGACTGGGAGGTGCAGCAGGGGAGTCAGGGGCGGTGACTCTGGCCCAGGACCCGTCCTCCTGCAGGCTCAGGGGTCCCTGGTCACTGCACAGTCGGGGAGCTGAGGGCTGAGCCCCGCGTCTCTGAGCTTCTCAGGCGCCTCCAGGAGGCCACGGCCAGGTCCTTTCACTGGCGCCCAAGGCCCGGTTTCCTCGTCCCTGGAAAGGGGTCGTCTGTGGTTGGCAGCAATTTCCTGCTTGTGTCTTAGGTCCCATTGGGCTTCTCAGCAATTCTATTAACCTTAGAACCAATTCCCTGCTTGAACTGTTTGTTTATTTTCAATCCTCACCTGGAGGTATTTTCCCCATTTCTCTTCAGAGATTGGAAGGGAGGGAGAGTGGGAGAGAAACATCAATGCAAGAGAGACACATGGATTGGTTGCCTCCCACACTAGCCCCGGCTGCCTTTATGCACAGCTCTCCGGAGGCAACTTTAGACGCGTGGCCCGGGCAGGAATCACCTGCAGACCCGGGGCTAAGGTGGGCCTCCCACTCTGGCGTTGTGAACCCAGGTCTCCGGCTCATCGAGGAAATATGGGCGAATTCCTTTCTCCATGGCAGCCGAGAGGCTAAGCATGAAGTGCGGGGCGGGGATATCGGAAAACTCTGCCGGAGTCGACAGGATCCCGACACACCCGGAGCAGAAGAGGGCCGGTATCCACGTCCCCCCGAGATCGACACACGCGGCGCCAAAAAATGTCCGTCCCAAGGCGCAGGCTCCGCGGAGGGGCGCTTCGGTCACCGCGCGCCCACCACCCAATCAACGTCGGCCTTGCACAAAGCGACCCTCCCCCCAGGCCGCCGAAACGGAATCTCCACCCTCTCCTCTGGCGGCTTTGGCCCGCCCACTCCTGCTCAGGCCCCGCCCCGCGACGTCCCCGATAGAGATTCGCAATTGGCTCGTGGGATGAGCGCAAACTCTGGTTGGTTGAAGTGGAGTCACGAGGGCACAGTCGTCGCCTTTCCAGAGGGGATTACTGGGCAGGCTCAGTCTTTCGCCTCAGTCTCGAGCTCTAGCTGGTAGCGAGACGTACGCGCTCCGGTTCTTCAGTACCAGCGGCCGCCATCGACGCCGTTTGGTTCCTCTGGGCACATCTGCGCCACTCACCCGCCACACACTCCACCCTCATAAGCCGCCGCCATGGTGAAGCTCGCAAAGGTAAGAGGCCTTCCTCGCGCAATCACGGACACCGAGGCCTATTTTCTGAGGAGCGCGCGCGCGGCGCCGCGAGGAGGAGGGCCTGCGCGCCGTCCCTGGCGCATTCGAGGGCGCCATGCTGCGGGAAGTCTCGCGTGAGCAGTGCGGAGGTCTCGCGTTTTTTGGGTACTTTTTTGGCGAGGTGGAGAGCTTGCAGGTGTTGCTGAAACGGCGTGGAAAGACCTCGGGACTGAGCGTAGTCCCGAAGGGGCGCTGCGCCTCGGTAGAGGGATGAGGCCAAACTCCTGGGACGGGTGCGAGCGGGACACCGCCTCCTGACGCACGTGCCTCGGCGGGCGGCCCGCCACGTGGGCCGTGCCGCGTGGGTCCTGGCGTCTCTGGAGGGGACCGTTCCGTGACGTGGGGAGCGGCGGGATTTCTTCATTTGGAGGCCCGCGGCCTATAGGATCTTAACTATGAGGTGGACCCCGGAAGGAGGCCCCGCCGCGTGCTCTCTGTGCCTGGCTGCGCGCACATGGTGGAGATGGCCCCACGTGGCCCTGGGGCGGGGTTTCCCCGGGAAAGGAAAATTGTAAGACCAATGGTCTTATGCTTAAAGACGTGATTTTTCTTTAATGTTGTCCTAATTTAATTTAAGAGGAGTGGTGGGATAAGGTGCCAGAATTTACTGAAGGCTTTTTTTCTCAAACTATTGGGGTGACATTGGTCAACATGAACCATATAGGTTTTAGGTGTGGGTTTCTATGTTACAAGATCTGTGTATTGCACCACGTGTTCACTATACAGTCAAATCTCATGTCACTATATGTTAGGACACCTCTACTGCCATCATCAAAGGGTTTTTTTAAGGTAGTTTTCCCCAGGTGAGGTTTTGAGTTGTTGGCATTAAAATGGTTCCATTGTAGGCTAGTGAGTATTAAGAAATTGTGCCTGATGTAAGAGTAGATTTTGGAAGTATAAATTTTAAAATGGGTGTGCTTAAGGCAATAGGAAGAGGGAGATGATTTCTTTGAAATTGTCTTTTTACCTAGGGTTGGTTTATGTTATTTGTAATTAACAGAATGAAAAGTGGGTTCTGAGAAAGGGAGATGACCATTGTACTATATGAAGAATGTGAGCAAAATGTGAGTGGCCTGAAATGTGGGAGGTGTAATGTGCTAATGACCGTGTCTGTTGTAGGCTGGTAAAAATCAAGGTGACCCCAAGAAAATGGCTCCTCCTCCAAAGGAGGTAGAAGAAGATAGTGAAGATGAGGAAATGTCAGATGAAGAAGATGAAAGCAGTGGAGAAGAGGTAATTATGTACAATTTAATGCAGAGTCATGTACAGTCGTGTTGTATGTGTGAGAATACTGGCAAAGGTAAGATTGTATTCCTTCATACATGCCTTATTGAAATGGTTGAGTGTCAAAATTACTGTAAGGCTAAGTATTTGGATGAGCTTGAGAGAAAAGATCTAGAGCCTCTTCCTCATGATGATGTATTAAATCATTTTTCCAGTTTCAACATGCTAGCCCCACATACTAGATGAGGAAACAGCCTGGACAGCTAGCTGTCTTGTATGTGGCGGTACTGAGCATTATATTCAGGTCTGAGATCAGTCTTACCAGATTCCTTTTCTAGCCGCCAAGCAGGTCTCTGTGTTTTTGTATGAGTTTTATAACACTAGTCACATTTTATAATGTCGTGGAGGGAGGAACGCCAGCTCCCTTTGTGCTGACAATGACACTCTGGTACTCCTGGCTACTGTTGCTTACTGTAAAGACTACAAGTCTTATTTTAACACATAACTTGATAAAACTGATGGTCAACAAGAAGTAACTTTGAGTGTGACTTGAATGTAGATAACGTTTTTATCAAGCTAACTGCTCACTCTTCATATTAATTTTGCAAGGACTGTCCAGCCTATTGATACTTATTTTATCTCTGGTCCTAATACTGAGCTTTCAGTGAACTTTATACCACCTCCCCAAATGATTTAATAACACTTAACAGAGCTTTTAGTTACAGAAATGAATTCATAATCCTTAAAACAACATATAACATTAGTTATCCTTGTCAGAAGAGGAAAAAAGTTGAGGCTTTAAAAAATCTTTCCTAGGGCCACACAGTAGCAGATGAGATCCAGACAGTCTATTTTTAGACTGCATTTGGGTACTTTTGGGTGAGGTGAAGAGCTTTGCCAAAGCCGAAGCAATTAGAATATGAGGTAAAGAAATTCACAAGTCTGGGTCCAGAGGTATTTGAAGTGTTAAGGGTTCATTATGATTGGATATTTTACCTGAAAATGAGGACTGATTTCATAGGTACAGAGGACATGTAACATGATGCTATAACTTAACTTACTATGTGGTCTTGAACCAGAGGTAGTGCCAGAATTTAGCACTCATTTATGTGGGAACCAATGCTCACTTTTTGAGTTTAAAAATAGACTCATTTTTATTTAATTTACAGATTATCATTCCTCAGAAAAAAGGCAAGAAGGCTACCACAACTCCAGGAAAGAAGGTGATGGTTTCCCCAACAAAAAAGATTGCCGTTGCCACACCAGGCAAGAAAGCAGTTGTCACCCCTGGAAAAAAGGCAGTGGCTGTGCCAACCCCTGGCAAAAAGGCAGCAGTTACACCAGCCAAAGCATTAGCCACACCTGGTAAGAAGGGAGGCACACCAGGCAAAGCATTGGTAGCAACTCCTGGTAAGAAGGGAGCAGCCATCCCAGTCAAGGGAGCAAAGAACGGCAAGAATGCCAAGAAGGAAGATAGTGATGAGGAAGATGATGATGACAGTGAAGAGGAGGATGACGATGATGAGGAGGATGAGGATGAAGATGAGGATGAAATTCAGCCAGCAGTGATGAAAGCTACTGCTGCTGCTCCTGCCTCAGATGATGAGGATGATGACGAAGACGAGGATGAGGATGAAGATGAGGATGAGGATGATGACGAAGAAGATGGTAAGGCGTTCTGTTGGTAGTCCTTGGGCTCTATTCTTGGTTGCAAAGTACATTAGGGGTGAGATCGTGGAGTGGGTGGGCAACATGCAGACATACTCCTTCCATGACACCATGGGGATTAGATAAAAATCCTCCCAGGGATTCTCCGTGCTGGTTGTATACTAGGGTGTTGGCCATGAATGATTGCCTGCCCCTGAGAAAATGTTTAACAGCACATTCTATGAGTAGTTTTCATAATATAGGGTTTTGCTTCCAAGTAATCTGTTAATTCTTGCTATAACTACTAAGCACAGTATTGTATTATGTATTTTTTTTCCCTTTAGATTTATCTGGAACTAATGTTGATTTGGGGATAAATCTTTTGAGTTTTTGACTAGGTAGCTTCTCTTTCAGACTCTGAAGAAGAACCAATGGAGATTACACCAGCCAAAGGCAAGAAAGCTCCTGTAAAAGCTGTTCCTGTGAAGGCTAAGAGCACAGCTGAGGATGAAGATGAGGAGGACGATGAAGAAGATGATGATGATGATGATGAAGAGGACGATGAAGATGATGAAGACGAGGATGATGAGGAAGAGGAGGAGGAGGAGGAGGAAGGTAATTGAGCTAGATTCTAAAGTGATTTGGTATGAGTTTTATTTAAAGAAGATACTGAATATGTGTGGCTACTTATGGATAACACAGATTGTTTGAAATTTTGTCCAGAGCCTGTCAAAGAAGCACCTGGAAAACGAAAGAAGGAAATGTCCAAACAGAAAGCTGCTCCTGAGGCCAAGAAACAGAAAGTGGAAGGTAACTTGTCAGAATGGAGAGGGGGAGGGATTTGCACTTAATAGCACAAGTGATGAACAAAAAAGGGACTTAATACTGAAACCTGATGTTACATTGCAGTATGCTGATGTGCTTGTATAGAAATTTATGTTGGAAATCAAATTCACCCCATACTTTATAAATCAGATTAATTTGAGTTAATTTTTTTGCAGCCACAGAACCGACTACGGCTTTCAATCTCTTTGTTGGAAACCTGAACTTCAGCAAGTCTGCTCCTGAATTAAAAACGGGTATCAGTGATGTTTTTGCTAAGAACGATCTTGCTGTTGTGGATGTCAGAATTGGTGTGTCGAGGTAGGTATGGGGAGTTAAGCCATTGTACTCCTGGGTCTGCTAATGCTTTTTTCCCTCCCTTTTTAGAACATTAGTACTTTACTCTTAAGCATGAATGTGTCTTCAAAGTTGAGACATTAATGAAGTGTTACTTAGATTATTAAATTGTATGACCTTCCCCAATTGGAGTTTCCATAATCTCCCTTAACTTTTGATATAGCACAAAATAATTTTTAATAAGCTATGAGTTTTTATTCTTAAAAATATTTAATTTAAAGCTATTAGATACAAAAAACCAGATAGGATTCTCCTACCTTGATGCTTTAACAAGTTCTTTTGTTAGCTGTTATGAGCAGTGTAGTTAATAAAAACAAACACATGCCCTAACTGGTTTGGCTCAGTGGATAGAGCGTCGGCCTGCGGACTGAAGGGTCCCAGGTTCGATTCCAGTCAAAGGCATGTACCTTGGTTGCAGGCACATCCCCAGTAGGGGGTGTGCAGGAGGTAACAGATCCGATGTTTCTAGCTCTCTGTCCCTCTTCCTTTCTCTCTGTGGAAAGTCAATGAAACATATTTTTTTTAAAAAGACAAACTCAGAGGTGGATCTGCATCAGGTCTTGGTACTTACACCTCAGTCTGTATCCCGAGTTTTCAGTCTTACTTAATTTTGCTAATAGAGTATGGTGCTTTTTAACTTAATCCGTTTGCCCCATCGCATTAGTGTTGCTGTTTGTTAATGAGGGGTCTTCTGTTTTTTTAAAAATAATTTTTATCCTTTGCCTTATCACCTTAAAGGAAGTTTGGCTATGTGGATTTTGAATCTGCTGAGGACCTGGAAAAAGCCTTAGAACTCACTGGTTTAAAAGTCTTTGGCAATGAAATTAAACTAGAAAAACCAAAGGGAAAAGACAGTAAAAAAGGTATGTATTGCTTTAGGTAACTGATACTGAGAGCTAATTCCTTCATTGATATATTTCTAGACTAATTGGCCAGGTTAAATAATTACCCCCCCCCCCCCAGTGTTGTGAGGATTAAATAAATTAGAATGTTAAATGTTTACAGTAGTGCCTAGCAGTATTTGCTGGTTCTAGAAATTCCTGAGTCAGCAAGCAAGAATGGACTAATAAAAAATAACTGTTTAGCTCTGGCCAGTGTGACTGAGTTGGTGAACATCATCCCATGCACCAAAAGGTTGACTGTTCAAATTCCCAGTCAGGACACATGCCCAGGTTGCAGGCTCGATTCCCCCAGTTGGAGGGGGGCGTGGGGTGGCAGGATGCGTGCAGGCCAATTGATGCCTCTTTTCCTAAATTTTAAAAAAACCTTCAAAAGAAATATAGCCTAGCCATCATGGTTCAGTCAGTGAGCGGTGACCTATGAACCAGGTGGTCAGGGTTCCATTCCTGGTCAGGGCATATACATGGCCAGGTTGTAGGCTTAAACCCCAATGTGGGGTGTGCAGGAGGCAGCTGATCAATGATTTTTATTATTAATGTTTCTAATCTCCCTCTCTGAAATCAATAAAAATGTATTTAAAAAATTATATAATTGTTTAGATGTACAGGCATACCCTAATATAGGGAGATCTTTCCTCACTGGAACTAGATCAAATCCTGACTATTTCTGTATCTTTCTTATACTTTGTCATGTTTCATGTGTGTTCATGACTCTTTTTTTAAGATTTTTAAATTGATTTTTTTTTTTTAAAAATATATTACTGCCGAAATATATTTGGCTCAGTGAATAGAGCGTCGGCCCGGGACTGAAGGGTCCCGGGTTCGATTCCGGTCAAGGGCATGTACCTAGGTTGCGGGCACATCCCCAGTAGGAGATGTGCAGGAGGCAGCTGATTGATGTTTCTGACTCTCTCCTTTCCTCTCTGTAAAAAATCAATAAAAAAAAATATATATATATTATTGATTTTTTTTACAGAGAGGAAGGGAGAGGGATAGAGAGCTAGAGACATGGATGAGAGAGAAACACTGATCAGCTGCCTCCCGCACACTCCCTACTGGGGATGTGCCCGCAACCAAGGTACATGACCTTGACCGGAATCGAACCTTGGACCCTTGAGTCCACAGGCTGACCTCTATCCACTGAGCCAAACCAGTTAGGGCTTAAATTGATTTTTGAGGGAGATCCATCAATCGGCCACCTGGAAGATCAAGCCCACGACCCAGGCTTGTGCCTTCGCCCAACCAACTGAGCCACACCAGCCAGTGCTGCTCATGACTTTAAATTAAAAATGCCCAGCTGGTGTGGCTCAGTGGTTGAGTATTGACCTATGAGCCAGGAGGTCATGGTTCAATACCCGGTGTGGGGTGTGCAGGAGGCAGCCAATCCATGATTCTTTCATCGTTGATGTTTCCATCTCTCTCCCTCTGCCTTTCTCTCTGAAATCAATAAAAATATATTTAAAAATATATATTTTGATTTCAGAGAGGAAGGGAGAGAGAGAAACATCAATGATGAGAAAGAATCCTTGATCACTGCCTTCTGCATGCCCCCCACTGGGGATCAAGTCTACAACCCAGGCATGTGCCCTTGGCCAGAATCAAATCCCGGATCCTTCAGTCCATAGGCTGATGCTCTCTACCCACTGAACCAAACCAGCTAGGGCGAAAATACATTTTTGAAACAAACTGCTAAGCACCTACTAGGTTGAGTTCCAAGTATCCAGCACATAGTTTGATGTTGGGTGTGACAGGAGCTTGTGTCTTGCTACTGCTGTATTGCCATACTATTGGTGTCTGTCTTGTACACTTATAGGACCCCAAATTATTAAACAGAACTTTTCTATTGGTCAGTATGTTGGAGGTAAGGAGAAAGGTCTTTTAACCCATCCAATTCATTTTGTGTTTTTTAAAATTTAGATCGAGATGCAAGAACACTGTTGGCAAAAAATCTGCCTTATAAAGTTACTCAGGACGAATTAAAAGAAGTGTTTGAAGATGCTATGGAGATCAGATTAGTCAGCAAGGATGGAAAAAGTAAAGGGTATGTTTTGTGTCTATCGGAATGTTAAGAGTTTTATAAATCAATGTGATTGTAATTTATAAAAGGAATGGCCCAACTTTCCTATGTGTGTGATTTGGGCAAATCTATAACCTGTGCCTTGATTTCTTATCTGTACAATCGGGAAATGTCTAATTTATAGTGATTTTAAAAGAGTTAATGTGAAAAAAGGATTACAAAATGTATAGTATATGCTTTGTAAGGAACGGCAATTATTTGTGTTAAAAATTAATATGATTGTCCAACCTTTATGGCTCAGTGATTGAGCGTCGACCTGTGAACCAGGAGGTCGCAGTTTGAGGCCAGCGGGTTGCGGGCTCAATCCCCAGTGTGGGGCATGTAGGAAGTGGCCAGTCAGATTCTCTCTCATCATTGATGTTTCTGTCTCTCTCTCCCCCTCTCTGAAATAAAAAAATATAATTTAAAAAAATTAATATGGTTTTAAAAATCAAGCAAATTCTTCCTTTTTTAAAAAAACACCCTTTTGCAGGATTGCTTATATTGAATTTAAGACAGAAGCTGATGCAGAGAAAACCTTGGAAGAAAAGCAAGGGACAGAAATAGATGGGCGATCCATTTCTCTGTACTATACTGGAGAGAAAGGTCAAAATCAAGACCATAGAGGTGGAAAGAACAGCACTTGGAGTGGTAAGAATTTATAGGCTTCCTATAGGGTTCTAGAATTGATGGAGCGAAATCCTTTGCATCTTTGAATTTGATATAAGATGACTGAGTGTAGATGTAGTTAAGCAAGTTATGCTTCTGTTTGTAATAGTAATTCTGTGTTTTGAATGAGAGCTATATGAAATCATTTTGCATTAGAACATAGACAAATTTAACTTCTTTGTATGTTTTATATTTTGAATGACTTCATGTACATTTTTAAAATTTTACTTAATGTAAATTTTAAAATTAGAGTTTTGTTCTAGGAAGATAGAGATCAGTAGTCAGCTTACACTTTTGAATAACAGGAAAGGAAGGAAGCCAGACATAACAGTTCATTATAGGTACTCAGTATATTGAGACACTCGGAATGGGATTCTATCTGCATCAACATTAGTATGTTAACTCTCCTAAGCACAAAAATTCTTAAGAACAAGATAGAGTTGTGACTGAAGTTGCGAACCACTGTTTCACAGTTTTAATTTGGCATCTCTTTATTTGTAGGTGAATCAAAAACTCTGGTTTTAAGCAACCTTTCCTACAGTGCAACAGAAGAAACTCTTCAGGAAGTATTTGAAAAGGCAACTTTTATCAAAGTACCCCAGAACCAAAATGGCAAATCTAAAGGGTATAGTAATTTGTATCTTTATGTTGTCAGTCATTGGCTGTAAGAGTGTTTTGAATAGATATAATCCTGTAACCCTGTCTGTTAGAAGCTGAATCATTTTTAGCTATACAAATCAGTATAAAATAAAGAGCCTCATTTATTTGCTTGAGGGGGGAGAAAAGGCTTATGGCATCAGATACGATTGCAGAGGAGCCATGAGCTTGGTAACTTATTCTAAATATTGTTCATCCTCAGGTATGCATTTATAGAATTTGCTTCATTTGAAGATGCTAAAGAAGCTTTAAATTCCTGTAATAAAAGAGAAATTGAGGGCAGAGCAATCAGGCTGGAATTGCAAGGACCCAGAGGATCACCTAATGCAAGAAGCCGTAAGTTACAATTACCAAGGTGTTGTGGTAATTACCAGGATAGCTCTCCTCAGTGCCATGCTTCAACTTGGGTCAGAACTAGAGGTGAACTTTTTTTTTCTGTTGCTGAGTAAATGGCACTGGATATGATGACTGATTATCTGAGAAATAATTGATGAAATACAAGAAAATTCCTCTAGATAGTCAAGTTCTGATCCAGCCACGTCAGCTCTGAGCAACAGATTTGCCTGTGGTTTACTGCCCTCTGTGGTGGTTGTAGCTACCTGCTTGAGATCTGTCTCACTTGTTTGGGTTGGCTCTCCTGCCTGCTTTGGTGGTCAAAGTAGACTTGAGATAGCAGTTGATTTAAGCCCTTTGATTTCATTAAATATTAGTTGTCTAAGATTACCTTTTTCTCATAGAGACACTTGAGGGTTCTGATACAACAAGCATTCTTGGCTAGTGGTCATTCTAAACATTACATAAATCCATGTCATCATTATGAATGATTATTTTTTGTTCTTCCCCAGAGCCATCCAAAACTCTATTTGTCAAAGGTCTGTCTGAGGAGACTACGGAAGAGACATTGAAGGAGTCATTTGATGGCTCTGTCCGGGCAAGGATAGTCACTGACCGGGAGACGGGCTCTTCCAAAGGGTAAGGTGCAATAGGGTACAGTGTCCACTGAGTGGGGACCTCTCATCCAATGTGTCTTCTCAATGAGCTCCTTTCTGTCGCTCTGTGGCAGTTTATGGATTCGCACGAGAAGAAGAGACAATTCACAGAGCTAGCATTATTTTGCCTCCTGTCTTCAGAGGTATATTCTGCTGTTTTGTGAGACATTTTTGCATTTAGGCCAGGGGTGGGCAAACTTTTTGACTCGAGGGCCAGAACAAAAGCATGGATGGAGTGTTTGTGTGAACTAATATAAATACAAAGTAAGCATCATTACATTAAAGGGTACGGTCTTTTTTTTTTTAGTTTTATTCATTTCAAGCGGGCCGTAGTTTGCCCACGACTGATTTAGGCTGTCAGTAAACCCAGTTTCAACTTTGTGGAGAGAGCTACTCTTGCCACTTTGGTCTTTTCTCAATTGAGCAAGGCTACTTTCTAGGGGATCGATGTCCAATATGTGAGTCAAACCTCAGTTCTTGAATGTCTCCCATCTCAAACAGTTCTGTTCTTCACCAACTTGTTCACAGAAAAAAATATTTCTAATAACAAAACTGCAGTTCTAGGCCCTTTCATCTAGACCTGATAACCCTTTTATGCTGATACATTAGCATGACAAAAAGTATCTCTCAGGCCACAAAGGGGAGAGAATGTAAATCAGTTTTCCTCTAAACTTCTAGTTGTTAGCATCTCAGGAAGTTGTGCTGTGAATATTTTTGTGTGTTTTGCTGGTGAAATGGAAGCTTAGCATAATTTTAAAACGAGTGCTGATGTTGCTGTGTGAAAGTGCTGGAAAAACAATGGTCACAGGAAATTGGAGAGATAGAAAAACTGTTGTTGATTTGGATAAATGAAAAGCAGCTGGCTGAGGCCATGATCCCTGAGAAAGAAGATGCTGCACCAGTGGAACGTGTGCTGAAAGTGATTTAAGGCTAGTTAAGGCTGAATCAACCCATGAACCAGTAGGTCACGGTTCCATTCCTGATCAGGGCACATGCCTGGGTTGTGGGCTTGATCCCCAGATCCTCTCTGATCATTGATGTTTCTATCTCTCCCTCTCCCTTTGTCTCAAATCAATAATAAAAATATATATTAAAATAAGTAAATAAAGCCAGTAGGGGTGGTTCCATAAAAGTAAGAAGAAATGTTTGTTTATATAAAACAATATGTTAGACATGTATTATGTATAAGAAAGGTTAAAACGGAATCATTTAGTGGTCTGGAATGGATTCAATTGACATTTCTAGTGGGAAAATGATTCCATTTTTGAAGAACCTTCTGGGATGAATGAAGTTAGAGTGTATTTTCCATATATCTTTGCTTTATAATGGATAATTTTATTTGGTGTTTTAGGTTTGGTTTTGTAGACTTCAACAGTGAGGAAGATGCCAAAGCCGCTAAGGAGGCCATGGAAGATGGTGAAATTGATGGAAACAAAGTTACTTTGGACTGGGCCAAGCCTAAGGGTGAAGGTGGCTTCGGGGGTCGTGGTGGAGGCAGAGGTGGCTTTGGAGGCAGAGGCGGTGGCAGAGGAGGCCGAGGTGGATTTGGTGGCAGAGGCCGGGGAGGTTTTGGAGGTAAGGATCATTGGGGTCCGCATCAGTGGTCACTATCACTGGGGGAGGGAGACCTGGCAGCTTTGCACCTGTTCTTTAATGATGTCTTCCCTTCCTTCAGGTCGAGGAGGCTTCCGAGGAGGCAGAGGAGGAGGGGGAGACCATAAGCCACAAGGAAAGAAGACGAAGTTTGATTAGTTTCTTCTATCCCTGTCTTTCCCTCTTCCATTTGAAAAAGAAAGGACTCTGGTGTTTTTACTCTGTTACCTGATCAATGACAGAGCCTTCTAAGGACATTCCAAGACAGTATACAGTCCTGTGGTCTACTTGGAAATCCATTTAGATAACATTTCAAAGGAGATAACCTGTTGGTTTTGACTGGATATTCGTATAAACTTTTTAAAGAGATGAGTGGTAGAGCTAACCCTTATCTGTAAGTTTTGAATTTATATTGTTTCTTCCCGTGTACAAAACCATTTTTTTCCTACAAATAGTTTTTTTGTGTGTGTTGGGATATAAAGGAAAGCAGAATGTTTTATCATGATTTTGCTTCAGCAGCTATGGGACAAATTAAAAGTCCTAAACTCTGGTGCCAGACTTGTACTTCCTAGAGTGTTTCTCCTGGAATATTGTTGAAGGTGGAGCATGGTAAACCCACTTCAGATCCATCCCACCCCTGATGAAAATGCTTGGTGCTTAGGTTTCAAATGCTCCAGCCACAAGTTTGGTGAAATGGAAGTTTCCTCTGGCTTCTTGGGAGGCCAGCGTGTTCTGACAAGCTCGGGAAAGAGGAACAGGAGCCCTTTGGTTAGGCCTCCTTTAGATACACGCTGAGAGTATGGATTCTGGAATAGTCAGTGACTAATGTCGGATGGATGGACCAATGGGGACTGTGAGGCTGGGGAAGAAGCTACCAGTTCAATAGATGATGGACCTGGTATTTTTTGGTCTATCTTCCAGCAACCTTAGGTGGAGCTATAAGAAAGGTCTTTGGTTTTGCACTATGTGCAGTACCCAGACATTCTAACTGACTTATTAAACATTCCCTGCCCCTGTTATACACACACACACACACTTTTGTTAGAAGTTAAAGGGCTGATGAGATGTCTAGGGTCAAGGGACTGACATGATACATTTACTTGAAAAATGGTGCCCCAGCCCAGCTGATGTGGCTCAATGGTTGAGTGAAAATGTATGAGCCAGAGGTCACAGTTCAATTCCTGGTCTGGCACATGTTGGAGTTGCAGGCTTGATCCCCAGTAGGGGGCATGCAGGAGACAACTGACCAATGATTCTCATGTTTCTCCCTCTGAAATCAAGGAAAAGTTTTAAAGTACCCCCGGTGACAGCTGAGTTTTTAAAAAACATATTTTGATTTCAGAGAGGGAGTAAGGGAAACATCAATGATGAGTGAATCATTGATCAGCTACCTCCTGCATGTCCCCTACTGGGGACTGAACCTGCAACTCATGTGCCCTTGATTGGAATTGAACCTGGGACACCAGTCTGCAGGCCGATGCACTATCCACTGAGCCAAACAGGCTAGGGCACAGCTGAGATTTTTTAAATCGGCCAACTCTTAAAAGCAGGTGGACTTAACTACCTGGTTACTAATCAGACAAATAAAAATGCAATACTGGTAGAATTCAATAAACTTACAAGGAAACCAACCTAAAAGGTAAGTGGGTAGTTGTAGTTTTTTTTTTTTTTTGCTGGTGGGATGTGGAAATCTAAGCCATGTGGCACATCAACTGCTTACCAGTCCTGTTCCAAGTACTAAGGACTTAAGAGCAAGACAAGTCTTGCTTTTGAGGGATGGCAGTGCTAATGAAAGTGGTGCTGCCAAGGGAGGTCTGTCCTGATAGGGAAACCAAAATGAGCTGGGAGCCAGTGTTTTCCTAGACTAAAAGTTACAATTATTCCAAGCATGTCATGGTTAAATCTCAAAAGGCTGAGTGGAGTTAGAATTGAAATATCAAAAATTGTTTTGTTAATGGTGCTTAATCCCTCCTAAACTGTCATGGGCCGATGAGGGGTCTTTGTGGGCCTCCAGGGACCCATCAACATTGCCTCGGGCCTTCTCCCAAGCAGATGCTTGGCTGCTTTGCTCAACTATTGACAGGCCTAAGAGTGTAATAGGCAATTTGGGAATCTAGGAGCATGAAGTAGGATTGCAACTAGCTCAGGCCCAATAGTCAGTGCTTATTCAATGCTTGTCTGACTTGGAAACTTGGAGTAGGGTTTTGGGGGCTTACCTTGTTGAAGGGAAGGTAAAGAAGGCTAGAGCCTGACCTGATAATTGCAAGAGGAGGTCTTGGCTGCTAGGGTAGGGCCTGTACTATAAGATACCTGTCCTGCCATTAGAGTTGGTCTCTGATAGATAAATGCTGATACCGTGTCCTCAATATGGGCAGGAAAGTTAAGGTTCTTCGTGCTACTTCCTTCCCATTAAGGGATGGAAACAGTCCAATCCTGTTAACTCCAGAGGTATGCTGGTTTAAATGAAGATGAGGGTGGAAGCCCAGCCAGCGTGACTGGTTAAGCTTTGACCTATGGAACCAAGAGGCCACGGTTAGATTCCCCGTTAGGGCACATGCCCAGGCTGAGGGCTCAATTCCCAGTGGGGGTGTGCAGGAGGCAGCAGATTAATGATTATCATCATTGATATTTCTATCCCTCTCTGAAATAAAAGTATTTTCTTTAAAAAAGGTGAGGATGGAGCGTGATTACCCTGCAGGGCTGGAGAGGAGTGCTAGGGCTTGCATTTAGGGTCAAGCCCTGTAAACATCCCAGGTCTTCCTGATACTTGTCTGGTTTCTGATTTGGTGGGTTGGGTGAGGACTTGGTGCCATTTTAGAAAAGCAGTCCTTTTCAGGAAATGGTTGCTACTTTTGTCATTTTTCCAGCAGGTGGCAGCATATCCACAAGGATGTGGAGACTCGGGGGAACCCTGAAGATTAGGCCAGTGGATCTTGAACTCAATACTCTCAGATTAGTGACAGGGCCTGGGAATCTGCAGGAAGTCCACTCAAGACACTTTGAGAGATATTGCAGAAGCCCCTAAGTCAGCCCTAACCGGTTTGGTTCAGTGGATAGAGCGTCAGCCTGTGGATTGAAAGGTCCCAGGTTCGATTCCGATCATGTACCTTGGTTGCGGGCACATCCCCAGTAGGAGGTGTGCAAGAGGCAGCTGATCAATGTTTCTAACTCTATCCCTCTCTCTTCCTCTCTGTAAAAAATCAAAATATATTTAAAAAAAAAAAAAAGCAAGCCCCTATGTCAGTGATGGTGAACCTTTTGAGCTCGGCGTGTCAGCATTTTGAAAAACCCCAACTTAACTCTGGTGCCGTGTCACATATAGAAATTTTTTGATATTTGCAACCATAGTAAAACAAAGATTTATATTTTTGATATTTATTTTATATATTTAAATGCCATTTAGCAAAGAAAAATCAACCAAAAAAATGAGTTTACCCTAACCGGTTTGGCTCAGAGGATAGAGCATCGGCCTGCGGACTCAAGGGTCCCAGGTTCAATTCCGGTCAAGGGCATGTACCTTGCTTGCGGGCACATCCCCAGTAGGGGGTGTGCAGGAGGCAGCTGATGTTTCTCATTGATGTTTCTGGCTCTCTGTCCCTCTCCCTTCCTCTCTGTAAACAATAAAAAAATATATTTTTTTAAAAATGAGTTCGCATGTCACCTCTGACACGCGTGTCATAGGTTCGCCATCACTGCCATAAGTGGATTCCAATTGGATCCAAGAACTAAAATGCATAGAATGTTTCTGTGCTCTTTCTCTGCGTTACCCTTTTATCTATGGTCTACTATCTCCTTGTATCTCGATTTCTGTCTCTCCTCAGCTTTAAGAAGTGCCCAAATCTTTCTTCTTCCAAAAAGAGGTTGTCCCCTGGCCCTCCCTCCACCAAGCTATTTCCCTCTTCCTTTCATTGCCAATACCACAATCTGGCTCTCAGCATTGTGGCTTCAGTCCTCATATCCCTACCCCTCGTGCTCATTAAGAGTGCCGATCAAAGGCTGCAAATCAGCGATCAGTCTTTCCTCCAGTTTATGGCTTCCCTGGAGAATCTGACAGATGATCCCTCCTTGCCTGAAACCCCCTCTCCTCCACCCTTTAAAGATGGACTGACACACCAGAGTGGTGGCTCTGTGACAGCAGGCTGAGGTGGAAAGGGAAGGAAAATAAATCCTGGGATTAGGGCCTATCTCAGCAAACTGATTTTCACCAATTAATGGATATGAACCAATGGCTGTTCCTTATAGGCCAGGTAACCTGTAATGGCAGAAGACAGCCCTAGAGGGTTCATTGCTGGTCCCTCTACATGGAAACATGAACATGTTCCTGGCAAACTGAATGAAGGCACTTTGTTTTGTTCACTATTCTGTCCTATGGGTGTAGAACAGTACCTGACACATACCAGGTACTCGGTGATGAATGAAGGAACCCTGGAGAAACTGCTTCCCTTGACTGCAGGGAACCCTATGGTGGCAGTGGGAGAGGACCTTAGGGCCAGGGATTCCTAATGTATAAAGTTCTTACATTTTTGTGTTGGGAATGTTTGGGGAGTCTGGTAAAACCTTTGAACCCCTCTTAGAATAAATGTCTTCAAAATTATTTTTAATCTTCACCAAGGACATTTTTTTTTCCCTGAGAGGAAGGGAGAAAGAGAAAGTGAGACATCAATGAGAGAGAGGATGGTTGCCTCTGTACTGCCCCAACCAGGGGTTAAACCCACAATGTAGGTATGTGCCCTGATCGATGATTGAACCTGGAACCTTTTGCTGTATGGGAGGATGCTCCAACCAACTAAGCCACCCAGCCAGGTCTCAAAATCATTAAAAAAAAAATTACAAGGGGAAACTATTAGAATAGTTACTTAAATATTTAAGAACAGCTTTTGTGATAGAATCGTATGTATTGATGCATTAGATAAAATGTATTGACATTTAAAATACTGTTAGAGAGTTGGTTCTGATAATGGTGGACTGGCTTCTAACAGACTAACCCTTCTGCTGATAATTATAAACTCTGGACAAAACTTTTGGAGATGTTGAAGGACAAACAATACCAGAAGCTGAAGCAGACACTATCCTTGAAATAAGGACAGTAGGTGAGATTCATGCTTAGCCTGTAGTTGTGTTTTCAGGTGTCAAAATTCTCTTTGCAAAGAAATTGATAGAGTGTTTTGTTTCTGTGCCCTAGGTAAAGTGCTTCCCCAGCACTTGATCTTTGCAAGGCTGTTCTTGGCTCTATTTTCTTCTATGTCAGCGGTTCTCAACCTGTGGGTTGCGACCATCGGAAAACACATATAGCATATCAGATATTTACATTACGATTCGTAACGGTAGCAAAATTACAGTTACAAAGTAGCAACGAAAATGATTTTATGGTTGGGGTCACCACAACATGAGGAACTGTATTAAAAGGTCACGGCATTAGGAATGTTGAGAACCACTGTATGTGGACAGCACTACCAAGAAACCTTGTAGATTTTCTAGGAGATCAAAATGGTTGTTTCAGAACTTCAAATGGGAAGACATCTCATTTAGATGGTTAAAAGTATCCACCAAATAAGGTA